GAACGATGAAGGGCGCCGTCGTTCTTGTAGCTGTTATCATCGCCACTGTGATTGGGAGCGGAGCATTCAGAAAGAAGCCGCTATGTGAGATGTGCGAGAATCTGATCAAAAAGATTGATGAAGTGCTGCAGCAAGGAGGAGACGTGCAAAAGGTATCGCATTAGAATTTGCTTGAGGACTTGTAGAATCCGTTGAAATCCCGTCGAGCCCAATCATAGAGGTTAAGAGAGCGCAGTGGGACCAGGTGATCCATAGAATCGATCTACCGAATCACCCCCGTCTGTGGGACTAGGGCTACTGTTTTGTCTGGATTATCTTTTCGGTCACCCCTTTCTTGTGATCTCAGTTTATTAGTTCTGTAAAATTATCCCCAAAATGACATAGGATTGAAGACCTCCACATTAGTAAAAACATAGCCATCAAATTTTAATATAAAATAGTTCTTTTTGATTGAAGATATCGGAGGAAGAAGGGAAAGGAATCCACTAAAATTGCGTAGAACATTTAAGGGGTCTAAGCGACACAGGGTGCCGAAGCGAGAGAACGAGAAATGGAGGGGAGGAAGCATAATGGGGAGCGAGACAGCAGGCAACGCAATGGTGGGCGGTGTTTTCGTAGCGCTAAAGTACTTCACGAACTCCACAACGAAGAAATAATTGTCCCTTATTCCTTTTCCATCACAATGTGTTCGTGATGGAGTTAAAGTTGAACCCTACAACGAATCCTACGGAAGGCTGCTATCTGGATTGAGAGAGGACCAGAGAAGATATACTTTCAGGCTGTGGATCAATTCTGTCGCGAAGATCTTCCAGAGTTCCTAGTTGACTACTGTGAAAAGATCGTTGCCAAGAATCTCAAGTACATCATCGAAAAATTGAAAGTAAGTTCTGAGACTCGATTTGTGAGCAGATAGGATTTCGACAGTGTAAAAAGAAATGATAGGACGTAGTTGTGGAAATTCCCGATTACTAATCATGATATGATAAGGTTGGGCATAACTGGCTCTGCATGAGGGTAAATTCACCACGGCTACTCTGAACCTTCTGCGTTCAATTGTCGGCTCTCTTTTGTAATGATTTATCCTTCATGCCCAGATTTGATGTGGGGACAGATAACTGTACATCTACTTATGGGGCGAAAAGGTTTTACGAACAGCCGAAATGCCGAATAAAAATCGCCTCAGGATTACTTGGACAAGGTGCAGTTCGATGTGCTGTGCGAACGCTGCTCGTACCTACTTCAGACATCGCTATCAAATATTGAAGAGCACATTCTTGCTTATATCGGAATGGCGGGGAGGCATAAGGCGGGGGCCGGGACCCGAACGGTATAATTGTTGACTAAGCTCGATCTCCCGGAACAAACGTCTCCACTACCATATCAAGTTCTATGAGGGTTGTTAAGGCCTTATAGCCACCGCGTCAACTCTGTCATAGCAAATTAATTTTCCTTTTTCTGACTTCGACTACTGCCTATACCTTTTTGCTCCAGTCTTTTAATACTCAGCTTCAAAACCCATAGAAGTCGATGAATAAATGTAAGAGTTGTAACATTTTACGCGGACCACGATCCACCAGAGAAGATCTGCACTGATATTTACCTTTGTACCGCATAAGAGCAGTGAAATGAGCACTGCTCACTTTTATTTGTATGTTCACGTTCATGATATTTTCAGCCATCGTGTTAATAAATTCTCTGTTTCGAAATCGTAATATCTTGCGCATATAAAAAATTGGTTCGAGGTTTTCGTTAAAAATCGACTCGAGATTCATTCCCTCCTTATAACCAGCTTCTATTGGAAGGTGGCAGTTGAAGGGCAGAAGCGAATACTTGGGAGGAATCCAGCGGTTGGCTCTTGCAAGTCACTGTATGGGCCAAATCGCACTCGAAGCACTACTTTACACTTTTGAATTTGGTAGCATGCATGGCGCATCCCAAAAATGGGTTGATCAACTCTAGTGAGTGGTTCAACTCGTATGGCCTTCTTTACACGATCTACAGAGGAATTAGGCGATAAGGATTGGTGGTGGCAAGGCTGGCGCGTGCCTCGCCATACTAGGCAAGGTCAAGTCCATTGGGAATCAGCGCCGAGAGAAAGACGTCAAACAATTCAATAGATCAAACTGAAGCTAATGAAACTGTATAATATAAATAAAGGGCATTTTGCTGCAACAGGGACAATTAAAGCATCACAATCCCGCTTTCCGCCTGACAGCTTTTGTTAGTGAATTTTATAATATGAAGGATTTGAAGTACAAGGGGCAATTAAACAGACAGTTTATGAACGTAATTTTAGCAGTGCGATACTTCCAGATATGTTTGTGTCAGCAAAGTATTTACCATGCCACCAAGATAAGCCGATATGGGTGGAATTGGAGGAATTTTTACAGTCACGTGACCGTCAATGGAAATCGGACTCAACTTTCATGCGAGTCAAAGATATAACAGGATGATAAGCGCGACTCTAAACGAGGACCTTCCCGTATCGGGAAACTTGACTGTTGCTATTCGAAGGCGATCAGAGTAATCGGTAATCGTATTTGTCGAACTATTTCTCTCGGCCCACACGGGAGATGACAAACGATTCTATGGACACTGCTACATTTGATTTACAAGAAACGATCACCGGGTCGCCATTGCCAATTCAAGAAGAGATGTACACGCCTGGATGCTGCCTTCGAGCGCTGATCTCGAGTCTACCTTCCAAATCTGCTAAACGATTCTCTGGAAGGAGTTATGAAGCAAACAGCGCAAGTACTAAGATCACCGAACGGTTTTGACGTTGCGAGTTCCGACCAGCTACCTTACGCTTGTTGCTCTATAACCCGCTCAGAGAGCGTTCAACAGATTTGAAAGGTAGATTTGAGATCTGCGTTCCTGGGCAAATCTTAGCTTGTAAATCCTTTTTGTGGGGCCATGGCGACCTGAGATCATTCGGTTGTTAGTAGAAGATCAGGGACGGTAGTAAAGTGCCATAGACTGGGAGTCAAAGGTGGTGAACTGCGGCCGTAAACGGCGAGGAGAAACAGGGAGGTGACCCTAGGATAGACGGCGAACTTCAGCACGATGTTGGCAAAACTCCTGCATCGCCCGGAATTGAACTCTGAATAGACTAAAATGTACCCCCGAGTACATTTTATGGTCTCTTCAATCTCCATCCACTTTCTCCTTTCTCTGCCGGCTCGCCGTTTTGGCAAATTGCCACGCCGTCTTTCTGCGTCCCTGCCATGCCCATTGATCCGCTGGTCCCCTCTCCCCCCGACGGCTGTTCTCTACCTCAGCAACCCTTCCAGCATGTGCAATGCAGCGTTGATGGCGCAGTGGTATCAGTGCCCGCTGTCAAGTGAATAGCAGAGAGTTCAATTCCGGGCGATGCAGGAGTTTTGCCAACATCGTGCTGAAGTTCGCCGTCTATCCTAGGGTCACCTCCCTGTTTCTCCTCGCCGTTTACGGCCGCAGTTCACCACCTTTGACTCCCAGTCTATGGCACTTTACTACCGTCCCAGATGATGTATAAAAACGCTGTATGAAACTTGACCACGACAGCGGATCACTGCTCTTGGGAGGAGGTTTTTGTGTGGTCCCTAAATCCAAGGCAACCTATCTCAGACGCTAATTTTATGTTGTTTTTTTTTTACGAAAACGGAGCAAATTTTGCCTCGAAATGAACCGATTTATTTTTATGCAAATCTGACAGGTTGAATACGGACCGCTGACTGTAAGTATTGAAAGGCTAGAAGTGGTACCTGAAGAAATTCAAAAAATCGTTTATGGAACCATAATCAGGGAGCTATGGTTCTTCTTGGCAAGTACCGTTGGTTTTCGGATAAAGAATGTCGAAGGGATGTCGACAGCAATGAGTTTCAGTGTTGTACATTTCGGCCCTCGTCTCGCCGTCGATAAATAAGTAACAGCAGGCGAGTCCGGCGTTTTTCGGGATGGCCTCGTTACAGCAGAAATGGCGTCTATACAAGTAACTCGACGAAGGGTCCATCGTGAGCTTGCAGCACGCCGGCCGCCTGTATGCCTTTCTTCTCTGATATCTGCAGACGAAACAGTATGCATAGCTCCTAGAGATATCATCATCTTACTCTAATTGAGGCATCGATATAGGGTGAACAACACCCTGCGGCAGCCCGAAAAAAAGCACCATATAGCTCTCCTCCAGAGTTGCCGTTCAGAACGCAATCGCCATGTTTAGCCAATCAATCTGGATGGTTCAGTTCATTCAGAGGATGCCCAACAATTTCGAGACCCGCCACCCAGAGCGACCACCGCTCCCACGAATACGATCCCTTTGACCCTCACAAATACGACTTACCGCTTCTTAGATTCTTTCGATGACGCCATTGAAGATCATTGGTGGAACAACCCCTTACAAGGGAGGTCTTTCAGGGCAAGCCGCGCTTTTTCAAAACGGTTTTTGCATATTGTAGGGACGCATGTATGGACACAAAACCATGTTTCGTTTTCGCTGAACGGTTTTAGTAGTACCAAAAAAGTGGTGAATAATACCCTTGATGGTTCGATCCCCCGCGGCGACTAAATTTTGCAATCAAGGTTGGCGGCCACTTGTTGGCTTCAAAATGGTCCTGATGATGAATGACATCTGATTTTGATATTTAGCGCGATTTGGCACCAAACCGTAGGCGCCAACCCAAATGCAAAATTTAGTCGCCACGGGGGATCGAACCCTTAACAGTACCTTATGCTTCTTTTTTGGTACTGCTAAACCGTTCAGCGAAAATGAAACATGGTTTTGCGTTCCCTACATGCGTCCCTACAATATGCAAACCGTTTTGAAAAAGCGCACTTGCCCTGAAAGACCTCTATTGTTAGAGAGCTAGGGGAGGTGGTTAAGACCGCCTCTTGACGCCCTTCCTCCAATGACGTTCAACAACGTCATCGAGACCGCACCACCTTCAGCCATTGTGGTCTCTGTCTTTGAGATTGCTAGGAGCATGTCATAGTTGATCTAATGACAAGTGAATATCAGAAGACGTCCAGGATGGTGAGCTCCCCGTTCAGGAAAGGTTCAAGGAGACGACATGGGTTGTAGATAGGGTCAAATTTCTATATCACATGTACTGTTAAGCTTATCGGTTCTGTATATAGTTGCCTACTTTAGTACAACTTGTCGCTTGCGTTATACTCAACCTTCTTAGCTCTTCACTTCGTGAGATCTCGGGAAAAGAAATTCTGAGTTGTTGCGATAGTTGAGTACATAACCGTGTCCAGCTTCAAATGAGGCCTAGTACAAAAATCCCATTCAATTTGAAGTTAGACTCGCTTACCTTACCACCACAGCACAACTGTTGCAAACCGTCATCGAAGGCCATTGTGCCACAACACTTATCCGTGGGGGAGATGGTTCTGAAGTGAATGTTCATCTGAGAGAAGAGTAATAGAGTAGTAAGTACCCCCACTGCGCCCCACGAATGCTTTGAAGCTTTCGTAAGTACAAATGTCGACCGAAATTGTTCGATTTTCACAGCAGCGAGGATGCTGGGGATTCCATCGCGTAGAGGATTTGAGAATGCCATTCACGGAAAGGGGGTTTCGGAGCGTCTCTGCGGGTTCTACGAGATCAGGCGTTTCAACATTGATCGCCTCGAATTTCATTAATTCTAGTGAACTATTTCTTCCTAACTGAAGCATCCAACCTGCCTACTGTTTGAGGTACCTGGCATTTGACTGGTTGTCAACCACGAGTATTCCGCCACCGAAGGAATGCTAGTGAAACAGAATTATTGAGCGCAAGA